TTTTTAACAGTTTTGACTTGATTGCTCCTCTAAATGTTTTGCTTTCAGCAAATGACTTTTTGAGTCTGTACACTCCAGTAAGCGACAATTTGATTATTAAATTAGTTTACTTCAATAATTCACCATAATTAAATTAATTAATAAACCTGCTTCAGTTTCCTTAGAGTTTGTATGAATAACTCACTTGAAGTGAAATTGTTTAATTTTAAACAACTTTTTGCTCAATTTGACATTTTCTGTAATAGATTTATCAATTAATCAATCAGGTTTGTCTGTATGGCACATTTTATTAACACCGTAGTTCAAAAAAACATTTATTAAAAACATAAAAATAAAACATCTTAAAAAACAAAATGCAGTCAACAATTGAGAAACATATCTTGTCAAATGTCATCAAAATGATCAATTCACATCAATAAATTGGTCATTTTATTATTTTGGGTCAAAAGCAACTTTAAACAAGTGAGTTTTTAGTCTCGAGTTAAAGGAACTCAGTGTTTCAGCTGTTTTAATTTTTTAAATGCCACTATTAACACCTGCATCCTGTTTGTCCCCCAGACGAATGAGGCGTCTGGCGAATACGTGGTAGATGTGAATGCAGCAGCAGCAGCGCCCCCTGCAGAAACGCTGAGGCGGGACCAGTTGAAGGGCAGCAGAGGTTTTTACTCGGCTCTGGATGCGTCTTCTGCTCGGCTGGACTCTTGCCGTTTTATTTTTAATTTGATTCTGTTTGCTGAAGGTCCGTTAGAGGGAAAAAAAAAAACAAAAAAAAAAATGACCCAGAAACCTTCATGTTTTCCCCACGCCAAACCCTTCTTCCTGGAGAAGCTGCTCTTTTTGACCTTCTACCTTACCACCGAGAGACAAAAACACACCCGACTCAGATAATATATTGTTTTGTTGTATTTGTTGTCTTTTGTACATTTTAATAATTCTTACAAAATAATTAAAAAAATCAGTAAGAAATGTATTTGTTGTCCTTTTTTGGGATTTAATTTCTGCAGGGAGATTAACGGACACGAAAGAAATTTATTCAAATAGACAAAAAAAAAAAAGTAATAGTAAAGCGATGAAGACGTTTGCATTAGTCCAGCGCCCCCTGAGGCGAGGAGGGGAACATGAGTAAATTTACTCAAAAAA